CTGCATTTCAAAAATCTTTTTCGAATTGCACTTTAATAAACTGCATTTCAAAAATCTTTTTTGAATTGCACTTTAATAAACTGCATTTCAAAATCCATTTCCCTTTCCTGTTCGCTCAGGGATTAACATGTGGATTAGCAGTTGGATTAACAACTTCATTTTAAAATCCTGCTGCTATTCAAATTAGCCACACTGTGGGATGTAAGGACCCTGCAGCGAAACGGAGAGCCCAACCTCTGACTGAGTGCCTATTTTCGCAGTCTGACCACCTGTGAAGGTAACGTGCTAACGTGGCTAACGCTAGCATCACCGCACATAGCCCCGTTATTTTAAGGTCATCTTAGCTTATGAAAGTTTGACGTCGCAGCTGTACGAGCTAGCTAGTGTTTTGTAAGCTGCTGTGCTCTTCACAAATAAAGCTGGAAGCAGCTCAGACTATTAGAACCAGCACTGAGGCCTGTTACATTTATACAGTGTTAGAGCAACGGCTGCAGCCTACAGCCTTTAAACTAGAGATTAAAATGCTGACAGTAAACTCGTCAGTCCAGATGTTACCACATTACTTTGTGATACTTGTGAGTTAAAACAACTGAGACAGGCTGATTAAAATAACAACTGTCAGTTCTCTCATTCCTTATATCAAGACTGGAGATCACACTACTGATTTCAGCTCATTTAATATGTGAGTGCACAGATTCATTCTCAACTGGACAGAAATGATGATCAAAGGTTGTATATATGACAAATTCATCAAATCCCAGCCTCTAACACAGTGCGCTGAATCTTAGCTTTGAATGTCCAGTATTTTCTCATCAGTGCAATGTAAGCATTCACTAAACCTACAGTATCTACACCTGTGTGGTAAAGACACAGATAATGAAATTTCATTATTAATACAATATACATCATGAGAAACGAAAGCTGAAATTGATTCAGTTTAGTTCAATTCAATTCAATTCAATTTTATTTATATAGCGCCAAATCACAACAAATGTCGCCTCAAGGCGCCTAAAAGTTTAGTACTTTTCTCTGTATGCTCTGTGATTATAAAGGCCTTAAATTCTGTGATATATACTGTAAATGATTTTCACAGAGGTCTTAAAGTACTTAAATTACTGCTGATAGTCTGGTTGTTTATATTTCCACATGTTTTTGTGTCTGTAGGGCTGTAGGGCTGTTTAATGACGATTTGGACTCCTCTGGGAGATGAGGACACACCCACACCTGTTCCATACTGCAGCCATTGATGGTGTTACGGCTCTGAGTCAGCTTTGGGCCATCAGACGCACACACTGGAAAACCAGCACCTGGACTTCATGCAGGAGAGACGGCCTCAGTGATGATGGACTCTGCATCCTCTACTTTACCTCCTAACCTCTTTCTCTTTAACACACAATTAAAATCTTAGTGAGGAACTTGTACACATTTGTACTTTCACTTGTTTTATGAGTTATTTTTAAGAAGAGTAAAGCTATTCACAAAGTTTTTATTCTTCTGTGTTTATTCTTTTGTATCATGTACCACAGTCATACTATACTATACAGACCTGGTGAATTGGAGAAAAAAAATCATATATGAATGAATCATTCAGCTTCAGCAGTATTTCTATTCATCTTATGAATTCCAGTCTAATGTCAATTCACTGTTTGAGTTCAGTCTTGGTCTTAAACTCCAGAGAATACCACCTGGTTCAACAAT